GAAATTATCTGATAGCCATGTCTGGATTCTCCCGCTTGTGTGGCATGGTAGAAAGTCTTGTTGCTAGACATCGGGTCTTCCAGCAGCCACCCTCTTGACCCATGGCTACACTCCTCCTCAAGGCACTTGATGTAGGCCTCCGTGTTGATTTTGAGGCCCTGTGGGAAGATGAACGGAGGAATAACGTCGTCATCACTAGTGATAACTACAAACACCTTCATAATCACCATTAGACATTCAACTCTTTCCCAATCGTCTGCCCTTTCCTCAGGTTGACACCCAAACACTCTGAGATCTTCGTATTGGAGCATCCAGTGCGAATGTCAAGCAGTACAGCCTGCCGTTTCCATATTTTAGGCGAAGTGAATTGAACCATGATGTTCTTTTTCTCACTGACGTTGCCCAAATGACCTTACCGTACAGTGTAGTCGATGAAATCAAAAACAAACAACGCGCATGCGCGAAATTAAAAATATAAAATGGCGACAATTTACCTATGGCACCATGAGCGTGTATATATATATATATATATATATATATATATATATATATATATATATATATATATATATTCATATTCATTTTCATTAAATAATATAGACAAGTGTTGTCTATTTTATGCAAATTCTTTTCATAACGTCTGATAAGCTTAATAACATTATCATTAAACGAAGAAAGAAAATCACAATATTGATCGATATTTTTTAATCCAATCTCAGCTTTCGGCTTACATAAGTCGTTATCAAAGATGTGAATTACTGTACAACATATTAAGCAATATACGGACAAGACAGTGATGATAGTCTGTGATTGTTTACATGGATGATTTCCTAGCAACGATAAACACGTGCATATAAGACGCTAGAAGCGAAAATCGCACCGCAGCTATATATATATATATATATATATTATTGTCGGTCATGAATAAGAAAATCTCAAATTTCTTTAAACCTAGACCGAGTACGGCTTCTAAATGCCCCGTGTATTTGCGTTTTCCCTGGTTGGGTTCAATAAGTCGTAAATTTGCCAAACAAATCAGCTCAACAGTTAAAAATTGCTATTTTTCCGCCATTGTGCGTGTTGTTTTCTATACCCGGTCTCCTTGGGCGTCTGCTCGAAAGGACGATTGGCCTCCCCACCATATTAATAATGTGATATACCGATTTGAATGTAGTTGCGGAGCCGACTACATAGGTAGAACTACTTTACGGTTAGACACACGGATATATCAGCACGTACCCGGAAAAATTAGAATTGGTACGTTCCAATCTGGTGACAACATCGGGAAAACATACGCCTCTGCCATTACTGAGCACCTTATGAACAATCGAATTTGTGCCACCAATTTCAGCATTGACTCATTTTCCATCCTTAGCCCTAACAGCCTTCCCTCTGTAAACAGAGGGAATGTCTGTTAGGGCTTGACATTATTTCCATCTGATCTTTCCACCTTTATTTCATCACATGCTTCTCATGTTTTTTTTTTTTTATTTTATACTGTAATATTTAGTCTTCCCTCGATTTCAGCTCTGTTGAGGAAGGGCGAAACCAGTCGGCTGGTCATTTTTTGTTTTTTTTAATCATGAATGTAAAGCTCGTCTTGCCGTTTTTATTTCCATATTAAAATTTTGTAACCCTAGGAAAATAATTATGTATATCTGTCTATATTTCTGAAATGAGGTATTATGTACACTATTTGCATTATTTGGACTATTGTCTTCATCTTTGTCGCCATATTTATTACATGTAAGACACATGGCACAGTGGATAAAGGCGTTAGTTAAATCCAGTGACAGGACCCAAAGAGCGTGAGTTCAATACTCGGTTAAGGCAGTGGGGAACTTGGAGAGGGAATTAACAGATAACTGATAACTGACATCCAAAGCAGGGACGATAGAAGTGTTTAATGTCTCTTACCAATACCTCATAAATGATGACATCCATTAAAACATGGCACGTGGAACTAGAACAGTCTACCCCAGTGATCGAAATAAAGGATTCAGTTCGACATTCCAACCACCTGAAGAAGGTCGGAGCGTACGACAGCCGAAACGTTGTAATAAATATGGCGACAAAGATGAGAACAATAGTCCGAATAATGTAAATAATTATATATATATATATATATATATATATATGAGAAAGAGGTTGTAGTGGTTCCAACGAAAGAAAAGAATGTATATTAAAAAGAAGAGAAGAGAGGTGCCGCAAACGTTTTTGATTGTAATGTGGATTTTTTTAGAAAAAAATATTATGCTTTATTTTTCATAATTTTACTACACGTGTTTCTGGTCTCATGACCGTCTTCAGGTAAAAGCGGAGATTTCCACATATTATTAAAAATAATTCATTTTTTCCTTATGTTTCTCAATGTTAAATATTCTCGATATGAGACATTCTCTGTTTTTGTGTTAGTAATCCGAAAATCTTTCTTGAATTGGCAATGAAGAGTTCTGCGCGAAGGGTCATAAAACAACTAAGGTTGGTCCAAGAGAAATGATGAATTACTTATCGGCATTTTATCTTTTAATGTTTTATATATATAGTGCATCCTTACTCTTTCTCCATATACAGCCTCCTTTGTAAATCACTAGCGGTTGCCACTTAAGATACAGCCCTTAGTGAAACCAGCGAACATAAAATTTCATAACTGAATGAATTAAGTTGTTAGATCCTCATATGTCTAAACCGACCGGAGAGTCCACTATTGTTATATAGTGCATATTTTACAGCAACCTTTATTTAAAACATCTTTCGATAAATATGACAGACAAGGAAAATTTAATTAATTTTTTCTATTTAGTTTTTCCAGCGTCCTTACATTTTTCCGTTTGGTAGACGTGCGGGGGTACAAAAACTGTCCATATCGTCGATTGCCCCAAGCCCTTTCACCAAATCCTTAGCCAATTTCAAGATTCTTGTTTTGGTATTGTTAGTTTCATCTCATGTTTTGACTGTTTGAGATATATATATATATATATATATATATATATATATATATATATATATATATATATATATATGAATACTAGTAGGAACGTTTATTCCGAGCCTTCGCTTGCTGAGCGCGGCTGGAATTCAAGTGTACGCCTTTCTATTTTTTTAAAAAACTTTCAGCACGCCACTGCGATTGTTAAACATGATGAGGTTGATAGTGATATATATATATATATATATATATATATATATATATATATATATATATATATATATATAATATTAGTAGTAAATATACACATGCATATGCAATCATATATCTAAAATATATATAAATATATATACATACATACATACATACATACATACATATATATTTGTATAAAAAAATTAATCCAAGAGGATAAAATCCAGGTAGAACTCAATGTCCAGGACAGAGTAAGGAGATAATAAAAAGGCTTAAACACTAATATTCCATGGTCATAATTTATTCCATTAGAATCGTAAATACGATCCGATTCATCAGACCTACAAATTCAAAAAGAAAACAGAAAAAAAAACTTTTTCTTTTCTTTTCCTCTCCCTCTCTCATGTTCTGATCTTTAAATTTAAATCGTTTATTGTGTGTGCATGTCACCACAAAATGTATCCTTACTGTATTGTAAATATATTCATATTTCTCTCACTTAAACCGTCTTTGACTCCCCTCTTTAAAACTTCTCTCTTTTAAATTTTAATCCCCACTTCATCTTTAGACCTTCCTGTTCTTCTCTCGTCTGTTACCCCTCCCTATAGCTTTCATTTACTCTAACATTCATCCCACACTCTCATACATACACTCTCACTAAATTTTATTTTTTATTCCCGGAGTATTTTTTTCTGTTTTCTTTTTTTTTTCTGTTTTCTTTTTTTTTCTGTTTTCTTTTTTTTTCTGTTTTTTTTTTGAATTTGTAGGTCTGAAGAATTGGATCGTATTTACGATTCCAATGGAATAAATTATGACCATGGAATATTAGTGTTTAAGCCTTTTTTATATATATATATATATATATATATATATATATATATATATATATATATATATAAATATATATATATATATATTCCGTTTCAAATCGCCGTGTCGGTCAATAGTGCTTGCTTTATGGTCCAGCGCTTAGTGAAAATTAGTGATACCAGCGCAGAAAAATAGTAGCTTACATTATGATCTGTTTTCTGACATAGTTTTATTAGAATGGGTGTTAGGGATGTTGTTCAGCTTGGTTTGTATTTAGACTTGTGGTGTAATGGAATATAGGCTCGGAATGAAAACTCGGAGAGCCATATTCGTATTCCAGTCCGGTTCGTTACAATCTCTTACGCTCAACTACCTTTGGGAAACTTAAGGATCCATCTCTTCTCCGACTCCCCCCAGCTATGGTTGAATAGTTTGATAGACTGGATCTTATAGCCTTGATTGGCAACCAGATTATCACAGAAAGAAACGACAACCTACTGCGGAAAAATCTTCTGTCTAGTCAGTCATGAATCGAAAAAGACATGACCGCTCAAGAATGTATTACATATGGCATTTAACTGACTGGCTGATTCATGGGTCCTATAGCCTTGGTTGGCAACCGGACTATTACAGCAACATACAGCGGAAAACTCTTCTGCCTCATCAGTCAAAACGGCAACCTACACCGGGAAAATCTTCTGCTTCGATCAATCATGAATCGAAAGAGACATGATCGCCCAAGCGTGTATCACTTACGGCATTTAACTGATTGACTGTATTCAGCGTATCCTATCGAATCCAAAATGGCGGCGCCCATGAAAAAAAATCGCCGTCAGCGTGTGTAGGCAATTTTTTTCCCCCCAGTACGACCAGGCAACAATGCAGTGGTGAAAGTGTTAAGAGAACCTGGGAAAAGGCAGTGTTGGTATCGTGACAAGCACGGTAACCCAAAAGGACAGGATATCAGTGACCACGTGACAATAACAAAAATAGTGAAAAAGTTGATCAACGATGAGTCATCTAATGACGCGCAGAGCAGTGCCGATATTGACAGATTTGGAATGAGTCATTGTACCCGTGAGTGTGAGAGTAAGGATGAAAGAAAGAGATTGAGGGAAAGAGAGAAGGAAGAAGATAAAGAGAGAAAAAAAAATTGTTTTTTGGTATGTCCCGTCGACAACAATAACAACCATCTGATAGGATTACCTGCTCAGCTTCAAATGCTTCTTGTTCATTAACTTTCCTTTTCTTTTTCTTTTTTTAATCTTCCGACGGTGAAGGTGTTTTGGCCACAACGGCTTCAAACCAGAAACAGTTAATCACCGGGTCTCACCTTAGTGCAACAGTTAGCAAGCTCGCCAAGCAGATCATTACGGCTGTACTAAAGTTCGGTCTTTTCCTACCCCCTCCCCATGGCCTTGTGTTTAGTTTATGTAAGTGTTGAAACTTGACTAATGCATGGAATAATAATGCAACACAAAATGTACTTAGAACAAAATGTATTGAAACAAGAAAGTGTACACAATATTTATATATAGTCTTTTGTATATTCCTGGTAAGACCGTTCCTGGAGAATGTGTTGACTGAGTCGCAGCCGGGCAGAGTCTCTGGTTGAATCTCTTGATTTCTCCCTCTCTTCCCGGTACCAACCATATTTATATGGGCGATACTCCACTATGCAAATTAGGTGGATCCTACCACAACAGTAAGGTTAGATAATTTAACAACATATCAAAACTTGCTGAATTATTCAATGTCGAGTTTGTTTATACTCGATTCTGTAAACAAACATTGGTTGGGTATATGCTTGAGTCTAAGCAATTATTGATTGTTTTTATAATTGAGTTAATAGTTTAACAGTGGGATTTATATTTGCGTCATTAAATATTGATCAAGTTTATACTTGAGTCACTAGGTTAGGATTGGCTGGATTTACGTTTGAGTTTATAAGCAAATATTTGTAAATTTTATACTTGAGTCAATAGGCTAAAACTGATTGGAGTTATATTTAAGTCTGTAAGCAAATGTTGATACATGAGTCAATAGGTTAATATTGGTCGGGTTTATGCTTGAGTCTATCAACAAATATTGGTCAGTTTTATAATTGTGGCAATAGGTTGAGTTTATGCTTCAGTCTTGTTGTAACATACCTACGGACGATAATGGGTATGTCCCCATTCACATAAATATTGTAGTAAATACTGTAATTTTGGAGATTCATTGTGGAATTCACTTGACTCACTTCTAGCATTTGACTCCTTCTTCTACGCTTCGCTGGTGAATCTTATATGTGTTGTTCTTGTCTTATGTGTTATCGTTCATTACCAACCATCGTGTGATTATTCTATTCAGTAATCTTCCCTGTGTTACAACATGTCTATAAAGAAATATTGGTCGATTTTATACTAGATTCTGCAAGCAAACATTGATTAGGCTTCTGCTTGAGTCTATAGGTAAACATTGAGTTATTTTCTTGAGTCTATAGGTTAACATCGAGCGAGTTTATACTTGAGTCTATATGTAAACATTGATCGAATTTATGCTTGAGTTAATATACAAGCATCGATTAGATTTATGCTTGAGTCTATGAATGTGGTCGCTTCTTTCAGAGTGGGGGTTACAGAGGATACAATTGGCATAGTCTAAAAACGCTAAGTAGGTTTTGTGATTAGAGAAGTCATTAGAGAGGTGTTGTCATTAGAGAGGTGCTGTCATTAGAAAGGTGTTGTCATTAAACAGGTCATTAGAGAGGTGTTGTCATTAGAAAGGTGTTGTCATTAGAGAGGTCCTTAGGTGTTTTCATTAAGAGAGGTGCTGTCATTAGAGTGGTGGTGTCATTAGAGAGGTGCTGTCATTAGAGAGGTGTTGTCATTAGAGAGGTGCTGTCATTAGAGAGGTGTTATCATTAGAGAGGTCCTTAAAGAGGTGTTTTCATTAAGATAGGTTCTGTCATTAGAGTGGTGTTGTCATTAAAGAGGTGTTGTCATTAAACAGGTCATTAGAGAGGTGTTGTTATTAGAGAGGTGCTGTCATTAGAAAGGTGTTGTCATTAAACAGGTCATTAGAGAGGTGTTGTCATTAAACAGGCCATTAGAGAGGTGTTGTCATTAGAAAGGTGTTGTCATTAGAGAGGTCCTTAGGTGTTTTCATTAAGAGAGGTGCTGTCATTAGAGTGGTGGTATCATTAGAGAGGTGCTGTCATTAGAGAGGTGTTGTCATTAAACAGGTCATTAGAGAGGTGTTGTTATTAGAGAGGTGCTGTCATTAGAGAAGTGTTGTCATTAAACAGGCCATTAGAGAGGTGTTGTCATTAAACAGGCCATTAGAGAGGTGTTGTCATTAGAAAGGTGTTGTCATTAGAGAGGTGTTGTCATTAGAGAGGTCCTTAGGTGTTTTCATTAAGAGAGGTGCTGTCATTAGAGTGGTGCTGTCATTAGAGAGGTCTCGAGTTGGCTTTATGAAAGCTAGCCTTGCAGTTCGTTATGACTATAATGAAGTTCGCTTTTCAAAACGTCTCCACAAACTTGTGGTCTTAGTAAACATCTTCATGAGGCTCCTCCTGTCCAAAAGACCGGGTAGGAACCTGAACTCGACGATAGATAGTAACCTGAACTAGACGGTAGATAGGAACCTGAACTAGATGTTAGATAGCTTCGCCAATCGTCCAGTTCACGCCTCCTCCCCGTTTTTTTGTTTTTGTTTTTGTTTTTTTTTTAACAGGAGTAGAGGCTTATTCATTGTTCCCTGATTAGGATTGTGGTTTCCGGTTCCTTCGAAAATTTTCTCATTGTCTTTCACTTCCAGTACGTCTTAGTGGCAACATCGCCTTGCTTGGAATGAATTGATTAAAAAATGGCTTTGTTTAATATGTTCATTATAGGCGAGCTTTAGAACGTATTGAGTTTGATCCTCACTGGGTGCTCTACACTTCTGGCCCTGAGCCACACTAAGGTAAACTTAGTAAACAGGTGTAGTCAGCCCCGCCTTGGTTTCATACATGGGACGATATCGACCCTGTATGTCGATGTGACTATCCAAGAGGTTGATAAATCCTTGGTGGCGGGGATGTCAAAACGGAGTCGATAAATCGTGGTGACTTAAGTTTAAATCTTATCAATTTCAAACCAAATGTCAATGCCCTTGATACTGCTCATCAACGACACCCTTCTCTTTTATGATGTCACCCAATTCAATAAAAAGGGATATTAATTTATTTTTAAAGCATTTATTTTTGTTTATATTATTTAGGAAGTTTTTTTTTCTTCTTCTTAGACGGTATTAATCGATCTCTTCTCCGCCAGACTGGATCCTATAGCCCTGGTTGTCAACCAATCTACCTACGAAAGAAATGTCAATCTACCGCGGGAAAATCTTCTGCTTAGTCAGTCATGAATCAAAAGAGACATGATTTATTTATGACATTTTATAGGAAGATAAATTATTGGCTCCATTTCGAGTAGGAATCACTGCAAAAACATCCCCCTCCCCAAATTTATAGACAAATCGTACTGATGCATGCTGGGATTTCTTTCTAGCCAATAAGAAACGACCATTTCTCTTACATCCTTCTTATTTTTGTTCTTGTTTTGAAGTCAGAACGCAGCGATCACTTTTCTATTATCCCTTTTGGGTGTTAACACCATTCTTAATTTGTGAAATGTCTTGCCTCATAACTATTGCTTTGCCTACATTTTTGTATTTCTCTTAAGCTGAGGTTTCCAGCGATTTTTTCAAATGTGTTGTCGTGTTCCTTTTTTACCATTCCAAGCACACCTATTATGACTGCTACTGTTCTTGATTTCAATTTCCATATTTTTTTTTCTATTTCGATTTCCAGGTCTTTACACTTTAATAGTTTTTCAAATTCATTGGTTGCTATGGTACAGTCCGCTGTGAAAGCCATATCAATTAGTAGGCAAGTTTTTCTTCTCGGGTTTTGATAATTATGTCCGGCATAGTTGCTTCAGTCTTCCTATCTGTAAAGATGGTGTAATTCAATAGAATTGTGATGTCTTCTATTTCTGTAACCGGTGCTGGGTGATGTTCATGCCAGTATTTATTAACATCTTTTTCCAAAATGTTTGCACATTGTCCAGTGTAAATATTGCCCCACTCTAACGTGACGATTTTTATATTCATTTGATGCAAGTAGAGAACATCTTAAGATTAGATGGTCTATAATTCCCTGATATTTGTTACGGGACCTGCATCTTGGATCCCCACTATTATGTATGATATTTGCCTGAAAGTTTCTACGGAAAAGACTCTGGTCTTGCGCTACAAGAATAAATCCTTCCTTTTCAGCCTTTAAACAAGATGCTCGTAACCACCGATAGGTCTTAACTTTATTAACATCGGTTTTATAAGTATCTTCTGCTAACAAAACAAGCAATTTCTTCTGCACGCCAAGCAATTTTTAATGACACGCAGCAGCAAATGACATCACGAAGTCCGAACCAATAATTACTACAACCCAAAGAATATATTTAGTTGTTTCAATTTTAATATATACTTAAGTATATACTAAGTATTTACTATATAAAATATATAGTAAAACAGATGTATTGACCTTGACAAGTATAAAAATACGTATGCTGTTGGCATACTAAATGATTTTAAAACCCTAAATCGGTACATAGTTTGCAAAATGTTGCCGACCCCTGGATTAGAGCATTGGTTAAAACATACCCAGTTGTGTGTTCAATCCTTGTTTCTGGTAGTGCTGAAAAATCACCTCTACTGGTCTAGTGGAAGAAACGGACAAGCGACACAAAGGTGAATAGGTCAGGGTGTATTAATTTATAAAAATTATCGTCTTTGTATAGAAAGCAGAATGAGAAAACTCTATTCGAATGGATGGAATAAAGGGTTTGATTCAAAATTCCGAGAAGTTCACCAAACGACAGATTCCTGATGAAGGCCGGAGTGTACAATGGCTGAAACGTTATCATTATGACGACCAAGATAACAAAGCATATAATTACATTCGTTTTTAAATTTGTTTTTTCAAAAATGCGCGATGATAAAAAGTGTTTAGTTAATTAACATTAAACGCTTCTTGCGCCATCTAGCGACAAACATGTGAATAAGTTTCGGGCATTCTCGATGAAATAAGACGAGCTCGCCATTGAGCAATGTTTAGCAATTTAATCTCCGAAATCGCGAAAGCATGTTCGATACTTGTCCCAGGCTA